TAGCGGCGTCTGCGTCTGCGTAAGATCAGTTGTCCGCCCCCTAGTCGTGTCGCACCGGACGGTCCTCTGGCACCACCGCCTTGGGCACCCTTCGATGCAGCGCCTTCGTGGCATGCACTCTCGTTTCCCTGTCTCTGGTCTCCCCAGGTCACTGCCTCCCCTGCCACCGTCCCCTGCCCCTCCTTGCCTTCCCTGAGTCGAGGGGCGGCAGCGTGCCACTCCTCACTCCTCTGAGTTCCCCCCGACAGAGGCTCCTGTGCAGACCCTTCACATGGACGTGTGGGGCCCAACCCGCGTCCATGGACAGGGCGGAGAGCGCTACTTCCTGCTGGTAGTTGACGACTACACGCGTTACCCTTGCGCATCAAGGGAGAGGTCCCTGCTGTCTTGATCCCTTGGATTCGCGCTACTCGTCTCCAGCTGGAGAGGCGCTTTTGCACGGACCTTCCTGTCCTGCGACTACACTCTGACAGAGGTGGTGAGTTTTCCTCCGGCCTCTTGGAGGCCTTCTGTCAGGGGGAGGGAATTGAGCAGACGTTCACAATTCCAGCCCCTCCTCAGTAGAATGGGGTTGCTGAGCGCCGCATAGGCTTGGTCATGGAGGTCACTCGTACCTCCTTGATCCATGCGGCTGCCCCCCATTTTCTGTGGCCGTTTGCGGTCCGGTATGTCGCGCATCAGCTCAACCTCTGGCCCCGTGTCTCCGTTCCGGAGACCTCTCCGTCACTGTGTTGGACGGGAGCGGTTGGCGATGCGTCTGTGTTCCGTGTCTGGGGATCTCGTTCCTTTGTCCGCGATACGTCCGCGGACAAGCTCTCCTCCCGTGCCGTTCCTTGTGTCTTCCTGGGCTTAGTCCCTGACGCGCTTGGCTGGCAGTTTTACCACCCCACCTCGCGCCGTGTCTTCCCCTCTCAGGACGTCACGTTTGACGAGTCGGTCCCCTTTTACCCTCTCTTCCCCTACCGCACTGCCCCGCTCCCCCCTCCGCCGCTCTTCCTCACGCTAGGTGCTGCTTCAGTAGACCCCCTGCCTCCCCAGGGTCCTGCTCCCTCAGGTGTTTCCTAGGTAGACCCGGTCGAGCCTGTCGAGGTAGCTGTCGACTCTGGTCCTGCGCGAGGTAATGAACGTGCTGAGCTTGAGCGTGCTAAGCCTGAGAGTGCTGAGCCAGGTGGTGCTGGGTCTGGGGGTACTGCAACTAGGGGTGCTGAGCCTGGGGGTGCGGAGACTGGGGGTGCTGAGCCTGGGGGTGCGGAGACTGTGGGTGCTGAGCCTGGGGGTGCTGAGACTGGGGGTGCTGTCCCTAGGGGTGCTGAGTCTGGAGGTCCTAAGCCTGGGGGTGCTGCGCCTGGGGGCGTTCTCTCTTCCCAGGAGTTGCGTGAGTGGTACTCTCCGTACTGTCGTCGCCGCCGTGGTGCTGTGGGAGTTGGAGGTGCTACTGGAGCTGGAGCTGAGGGCGCTGAGCCTACTGGAGTTGGTGTTGCTGCTGACCCTGGGGTTGGCGCTGGAGGTGCTGGAGCCACTGGTCCTGGAGGTGCTCCTACTGGCGGTACTGGAGCTGCTGGGACTTGGGGTGCTACTGGAGCTGCTGGAGCTGGTCCTGTTGGACGTGCTGCAGAAGCTGCTACAGGTACTGGAGCTGCAGGAGCTGCTGGTGGTGCTACTGGTACTGGGGCTGGTGCTGCTGAAGGTGCTACTGGTGCTGGTCCTGCTAAAGGTGCTGCTGGTGCTGCTGGAGGTAGTGGAGCTGGTGGTGGTGCTGAGGGAGTTGGAGCAGCTGCTGGAGGTTCTGGTGCGGTCTCTGCTGGTTCTGGGGGCACTTCCGGCCACAGCCGTACTTCGTTCCCCTCCTTCAGCAGGTTCTTGGTCAGCCGCCTCCTCCTTGTCCTGCTCCCTCCTTAGAGTGTCCTCCGCCTGTCCAGTCGCTGTCACAGCTACTGCCTGCCTCGCCACTCCTTGGTCCTTCTCCCTACACTGGTCCGACAGGGTCTTACGGAACGTCGGGAGCCTGAGTCTCGTCCTGTGTCGCCTGAGTCTCGGTCTGCGTCACCTGTTCGTGCTGCTCACACTGGTCGTCGTGTCCCACGTCAGCGTCCTTTTGCTGTCCCATGCACTCACCAAATGGTGCTTCGTCCTTCCACTGCTCCACAGCGTGTCCCGCTGCCTTCTCCTCCTGCGTCCTCTCTTCCTGCCCTTGCCGACCCGGAGTCTGACTCTCTTCGTGCTACTAGTCCTACTGTCACGCGTCTCCTGGCCACTGCTGTCACTGACCCTTCCTTTGAATCAACTGCTGTGTCTGCCTTGATTGCTGAGCTTGTCGACTTTGCTGCTCATTGTCGTCTAGACTACGCTGCGAGTCTTGTTGCTGAGTCTGAGTTTGAGTCTGTCTGTCCTCCGTCCGTCGGGGGTGAGTGTGCTCTTGGCACGGACGTCCTTGAGGACAGGCAAGAGGAGTTTGAGTGCTTTGCCGCCGCTGTACCTCATCTCGTGTCCATGCTGATTGCACCTGAGGGAGACCCGGATGCACCAGACATCCCGGCCCTGCGCTCTTACGCTGAGGCGATCGCGGGTGAGTACTCCTCTCAGTGGCAGTCAGCCATGGATGCAGAGATGGCATCCCGGAAGTCCACTGGCACTTACGTTGACGAGGTTCCCCCTCCTGGGGCGAACATCGTCAGAGGCATGTGGATTTTTAGGGTGAAGCAGCCGCCAGGTTCTCCGCCTGTCTTCAAGGCTCGTTACGTTGCTCGCGGCTTCAGTCAACGAGAGGGAGTTGACTTCTTCCGGACCTTCTCCCCCACCCCGAAGATGACCACTCTTCGGGTGCTACAGCACGTTGCCACTCAGCGTGACTACGACTTCACTCTCTTGACTTCAGCACAGCTTTCTTGCAAGGCAGCCTGCACGAGGAGCTTTGGCTGCGCCGCCCTCCTGGCTTCACTGGGTCGTTCCCTCCTGGTACCAAATGGAGCCTCCGGCGGCCGGTCTACGGTCTCCGCCAGGCGCCACGTCAGTGGCACGACACACTGAGGACTACACTTGCGGCTCTTGGGTTCGCGCTTTCTACTGCTGACCCGTCGCTATTTCTGCGCATCGACACTTCGCTGCCGCCGTTCTACATCCTCGTGTACGTCGACGACTTGGTCTTTGCCACTATTGTCACTAAGGCTCTTGCCATGGTGAAGTCGGAGCTGCAGAAGAGACACACGTGCACGGACCTGGGTGAACTGCGCAGCTACCTTGGCTTGTAGATCAGCCGGGACAGAGCACGCCGCACCATCACACTTACTCAGTCACACATGGTGCAGCATGTCCTTCAGCGCTTCGGCTTCACTTGGTCCTCGGCACAGGCCACTCCTCTGGCTACAGGTCACTCGCTCTCAGCTCCACCTTCGGACGAGTCCGTAGAGCCGAGTGGTCCTTACCCAGGGCTAGTTGGCTGCCTCATGTATCTGATGACTTGCACTCGTCCTGACCTCGCGTACCCTCTTGGCCTTCTGGCTCGCTACGTGGCTCCTGGTCAGCACCGAAAAGTGCACATGGATGCTGCTAAGAGGGTACTGCGCTACTTGTGCAGTACCTCAGGCATGGGGCTCGTGCTGGGAGGGATGAGCTCAAATGTTCTCACTGGGCACTCAGACGCTTCTTTGGTTGACAACCAGGCTACGCAGCGTTCGTCACAGGGTTACACCTTCAGCCTTGGCTCTGGTTCAGTTTCTTGGCGTTCTACACGCTCGTTTTCAGTTCTCAGCTCCAGTTGAGAGGCTGAGATCTACGCCACAGCCATGGGTGCACAGGAGTTACGCTGGCTCACCTACTTGCTGACTGATTTGGGAGAGCGGCCTCGTTCTCCTCCAGTGTTGTACGTCGAAAACAAGGCTACCATTGCCTTGTGTGAGGAGCAAAGACTGGAGCACAGAACGAAGCACATCGCTCTGCGTTACTTCCTGGCTCGAGAGTTGCAGCAGCGTGGTCAGCTTCGTCTGCGTTACGTGGCCACTCGGCCAACACTGCTGATATATTCACCAAGGCACTTCAGTCTGGTGATCATCAGCGTTTCTGCACTATGCTAGGGCTTGTGCCCACTTTTCCTCACTTGTTGTAGGTGAGGAAATAAGAACGAGAATGAAATTGACTATGGAATGAAAGAGATACAAATATGCAACCCTAGAAATGTGTACCCCATATGGGCTACCCCACTAAAGCCTAGAAAACATTATAATTTGACAGTCAAGCAAAGCAGAGCAAAGCTCAGGGTGGATCACAAAGTCACCACACATTCCGAGCACAAGTTCAAGGCCAGAAAGCCAGTTCACATGCAGGAGCACATATATATATATAAGAGGCTAAGCAAACAAGAGCAGGTGTATATATATGTGACAGTACAAGCAAGGTCAAGAAGTGAGCAAGTGAGGCAAGACAGGCACAAGACCAAGCTGAGTACAAAAGCGCTGATGATCACAAGGCGCAAGTGCCTTGGTAAACATCAGCAGTGTTGGCCTCAGAGGCCACGTACGCAAGCCGCAACTGACCACGCTGCTGTAGCTCACTAGCAAGGAAGTAGCGAAGAGCAATGTGCTTTGTTCTGTGCTCTAGTCTCTGCTCTCGACACAAGGCCAGCATGGCCTTGTTGTCTACGTACAGGACTGGAGGAGAACGAGGCGGCTCTCCAAGGTCGGTCAGCAGGTAGGTGAGCCAGCGAAGCTCCTATGCAGCCATGGCCCCGGCGTAGATCTCGGCCTCACAACTGGAGCCGAGAACTGAAGACGAGCGAGTAGCCCGCCACGAAACAGAGCCGGAACCAAGGCTGAAGGTGTAACCCTGTGACGACCACTGCGTAGCCTGGTCGTCAGCCCAAGAAGCGTCCGCGTGCCCAGTGAGGACCACTGGACTCTACCCTCCAAGCACTAGCCCCATGCCCGACGTACTGCACAAGTAGCGCAACACCCTCTTCGCTGCAACCATGTGCTCTGGTCAATGTCTCCCAGGAGCAACATAGCGTGCTAAGATGCTAAGAGGGTATGCAAGGCAGGTCGTGTGCAGGTCATCAGGTACATGAGGCAGCCAACAAGCTCTGGGTACGGGCCACTCGACTCTACGGACTCATCCGAAGGCAGAGCTGAGAGCGAGTGGCGAGTAGGCACAGGAGTGGCCTGAGGCGAGGAGTACGTGAAGCCGAAGCGCTGAAGGACCTGCTGCACCATGTGTGACTGAGTCAGGGTAATGGTGCGGCGTGCTCTGTCCCGGGTGATCTGCAAGCCAAGGTAGCTGCGCAGTTCACCCAGGTCTGTGCACGTGTGTCTCTTCTGCAGCTCGGACTTCACGTGGGCGAGTCCAGCAGTATCAGCAGTGGCAAAGACCAAGTCGTCGACGTAGACGAGGATGTAGAACGGCGGCAAAGAGGTGTCGGTGCGTAGAAACAACGACGGGTCGGCAGTAGAAGGAGCAAACCCAAGAGCCGCAAGCGTAGTCCTCAGTGTGTCGTGCCACCCGCGCGGTGCCTGGCGGACACCGTAGACTGGCCGTCGGAGGCTCCACTGGGTGCCAGGAGGGAAAGTCCCAGTGAAGCCAGGTGGACGACGCAACCAGATCTCCTTGTGCAGGCTACCCTGCAGGAAAGCAGTGCTGAAGTCAAGGGAGTGAAGCTCGTAGTCACGCTGAGCGGCTATGTGTAGCAGCACCCAAAGAGTGGTCATCTTTGGGGTGGGAGAGAAGGTCTGAAAGTAGTCGACTCCCTGCCGCTGACTGAAGCCACGAGCCACGTACCGCGCCTTGAAGACAGGCGGAGAGCCCGGCGGCCGCTTCACCCTGAAAAGATCCACATGCCACTGACAATTTTCGCCCCAGGTGGGGGAACCGCGTCAACGTAGGTGCCTGTGGACTTCCAAGAAGCCATCTCTGCATCCATAGCTGCCTACCAGTGAGAGGAGTAGGGACCCTCTACGGCCTCCGCGTAAGAGCACGGAGTCGGGATGTCAAGTGCATCCGGGTCTCCCTCAAGGGTAAGCAGTACGGACACGAGATGAGGTGAAGCAGCAGCCAGACACTGGAACTCCTCCTGCCAGTCCTCAAGGACGTCCGTGTCAAGAGCACACTCACCCCCGTCGGACGGAGGACAGACTGACGCAGATTCAGCAACGAGACTAGCAGCGTAGTCTAGACGACAGCGAGCAGCAAAGTCGATGAGCTCAGCAACAAGAGCAGACGCAGCAGTGGACTCAAAAGAGGGGTCAGTGACGACAGTAGCAAGGAGACGCGTGACAGTAAGACTGGCAGCACGAAGAGAGTCTGAGTCCGGGTCGGCAAGGGCAGGAAGAGAGGACTCAGGAGGAGAAGGCAAAGGGGCACGCAGAGGAGCAGTGGACGGACGCAGAGACATCCGGTGCGTGTCAGGGACAGGAGGAGGACGCTGATGCGAACCACGACCACTAGCGCGAGCAGCACGAACCGGCGACGCAGGACGAGAAGCAGGCTCACGACGCTCAGCAAGACCTCTAGTAGGACCAGTGTAGGGAGAAGGAGCAGGCAGTGGGGAGGCCGGCGGTAACTGTGACTGTGACTGGACAGGCGGTGGACACTCTAAGGGAGGAGGAAGACCAAGAACCTGCTGAAGGAGCGGAACAAAGTACGGCCGAGGCCGCGCGGCGACTCCAGACACAATAGGGACAGCACCAGCACCCCCAGTGGCAGCATCAGCGCCAACAGCACCTCCACCTCCTGTACCTCCAGCAGCACCAGCAGCACCCGCAGCAAGACTGCCGCTAGGACTGACAGCAGTAGTCTCAGCGCCAACACCCTCAGCAGCACCGACTCCAGTCGCACTCGCAGGCCCACCAGCTCCAGCACTCCTAGGGCTAGCACCTCCGAGACCGGCGGCACCAGCACCCTCAGCAGCCAAAAAAGCACCAGCTCTAGCAGTACGCCTCCAGCGCTGGGCAAACCACTCGCGCAGCTCCTGTGGAGAGAGTGGCTCCCGCCGAGACGAAGCACCCGAAGAACCACCAGGCCCAACACCACCAGACGCCACACGAGCACGTCCAGCGGCCGCGGGCTCCGCACACCCAGGCTCAGCAGCTCCAGACTCAGTACCCACAAGCTCAGCAGCTCCAATCGAAGCACCACCAGGCTCAGCAGCTCCAGACGCAGCACCCCCAGGCGAAGGACCCCCAGGCTGAGCACCCTCAGTCGTAGCACCCCCAGGCTCAGTACCCCTAGGCTCAGCACCCACTCGCGCAGCACCCCCAGAGACAGCACCCCCAGGCTCAGCACCCGCAGCAGTACCAGAGTCACCAGCAACCTCGACCGGCTCGATTGCGTCTACCTGGGACACACCTGAAGGGGCAGGACCCTGAGGGGGGAGGGGGTCTACCTGGGGGGGACCTGGCACAAGGAAGTGCGGCGGCGGGGGGAGGGAAGGAGTGCGGTAGGGGAAGAGACGGTAGTAGGGGACCGACTCGTCAAACGTGACGTCCTGGGAGGACAGAACACGACGAGAGGAGGGGTGGTAGAACTGCCACCCAGGTGCGTTAGGGGGGAAGCCAAGGAAGACACAAGGAGCTGCACGAGGGGACAGTTTGACCGCAGACAAGTCGCGGACAAACGCCCGAGATCCACAGACACGGAACACAGACGCATCGCCGACCTTCCCCGTCCACAGCAAGGCTGGGGAGGTCTCCGGCATGGAGACCCTGGGGTGAAGGTTGATCTGATGCGCCGCGTACCGAACCGCAAACGGCCACAGAAAATGGGGGGCAGCCGCATGCATCATGGACGTACGAGCGACGTCCATGACCATGCCAATGCGGCGCTCAGCAATCCCATTTTGCTGTGGAGAGTCCAGAAGTGTAAAGGTCTGGCGGATGCCTCGCGCACGGTAGTAGGCTTGCAGAAGGCCAGAGGAGAACTCTCCGTCTCGGTCAGAGTGCAGAAGCAGAACACGAAAGTCCGAGCCAAAGCTCCTCCTGAGCTGGAGACGAGCTGCGCGGATCCAGTCGATCAACACCTCAGCGACATCACCCTTGCTGCGCAAGGGGAAGACTGAGGTGTAACGCGAGTAGTCGTCAACCACCAGCAAGAAGTAGCGCTCGTGACCCTTTCCACGGACGCGGGCCGGGCCCCACACGTCCATGTGAAGCGTCTGCAGCGGGGCCTCTGTCGGGGGAAACTGAGAGGAGTGAGGGGCAGCCCGTAGCCGCCCCTCGACACAGGGAACACAGGAAGGACCAGGCCCTAGAGGAAAGGGAGTGAGGGACCGGGGGAGACCAGAGACAAGGACACGGGAAGCCATGCCTCGGAGACGAGGCAGGGAGGGGTGACCAAGACGGTGGTGCCACAGGAGAGTCTCGTGAGACAGGAGGCGACACGAGCAGGGGGCAGACTCAGGACCAGACCTGGACGCTGCAGCAAACACCTGACCCGACGCAGCTACCTGGCTAGATGCAGGGACAGGAGGAGACCCAGTGGTCAGGGTATAGAGGCTCGACCCCGGTCGACGCGTAAACGTGGCCAGGTGCCGGCCTGTGCGAGCGTCCGAGCAGTTGGTCACCCGCTGACTCGCAGGAGTAAACTGGTGAACCCCCGTATCCTGCAGGTCAGCACCTATCACCAAGTTCGTAGAGAATGATGGGAGGTAAAGACCAGACAAGGTGCCAGAGGGGGCAGCCGGACACGGGAGGACAGTGGAGAAGTGAGAGAGGACAGGGCCCCCAGAGGGGTCTGCCAGGGAGACTGCAACCGGCCGACCAAGCGGCGTGAGTGTGGTGCGGTCTCGAAAGAAGGAGCGAGAATCACCTGAGTCAAGTGTGAAGGTGAGGGAGGCCGAAGCCGACGTGGTACCTGAGAGCGCAGATTCACCAGCACCTGAGGGCGCAGACGCACTGGCACCTAGAGCAGCAGCCTCACCAGCACCTAGAGCAGCAGTACCAATGCCCGGGTCGGGCGGGAAACACCGGTAACAGTCACCCTCATCACTAATAGTCACAGCATAAATGGCAGCAAGGATAGCATCAAAGTCAAGATCATAGATAGCTACGCCTGCCCTACAAAGCTCTCCCCAGCGGGGGATCTCACTGGCCTCCGGGAACTGCTGACGCCAAGCGTCCGTCAGGCGGCCAAAGCAGCGCTGGGTGGGGTGGGCATCCTTACACTGCTCACCCGCGCGGTCGCCGGAGCGAAGGACGTAGGTGCACGGACCAAAAACCCCACCACGCTGACGCTGCGCGTACCACTCACGGAGCTGCTGAGGGGGGGGAATGTCCCGAGAACGCTGTTGCTGCTACTGCTGCTGCTGGCGCTGACCATCACCAGGGCTGCTCCGCTGCAAAGCGCCACCCCGACCACCGCCACCTCCTCCACCACCGCCTCCTCCACCTCCGCCACCACCGCCGCCTCCGCTAGCACCGCCGCCGCCTCCGCCTCCACCGGTGCCACCAACACCTACACCCCCGCCACCACTCCCACCGCCACCCCCACTCCCTCCGCCGCCTCCACCGCCACCTCCACCGCCCCCGCTAGCTCCACCCGCGCCCTTGCCCCCCTTGCCCTTGCCAGAGCGGCGTCTCCCGCTAGGGGCAGACGCCGCACCGACCGACTCAAGACCAACGAGGTCGGCCGCAGCGGCAGAGGCGACAGAGGGCAAAAGTGGGGAAGGAGAACACCCCTCAAAGATGGGGGTGCGAGGGTCACCACGAGAGGCTCCTACAGCGACTATGCTCTTCTCCGCTGCTAGGAGGGCCTTCTCTAAGAGGTCAACAGTGAGAGTGGTGGGACAGACTGAGAGGAAGTGGTCCCTGACTACACGAAGGGAGTCAGGGAGGCGGGTGACTATATAATAGAGAGTGATGTACATGGGGGGGGGGGTTCTTGGCGCAGAACTCAGCAGGAAGCGCGGCGCGGTAGCGAGTGTCAAGAGTGCGGAGGTGCGTAATGAGGTCAGCAACTGTGGGAAAGGCAGCAAGGCCAGGGAAGAGGTACGGTAGCATGAGGCGGCTCAGTGCAGCAGTGGCAGGGGAAGAGTAGCGCGCAACTACAGCGTCGTACAAGGTCTGAGCACTCTTGTACTGACTAAAGTGCGCGCGCTCAGTGGTAGGCAGGTGGCGACGCACAGCAAGACATGCAGCAGCATCGCGCATGGCCCACTGGGAGCAAACAGTGGGGTCAGCATCAGCAGCAGGGGCAGGAGAGGCGCCAGAGGTGAGGTCAAAGAGAGAGAGACCGTCTGCCCTATCGCACTGTAAGAACAGCTGCAGGTCATCGACCCAGACCTCAAAGTCAATGGCTCGACCCTGAGCGTCAAACGCGAGGACACTAGGGGTAGCCATGATAACAGTAGACTAGCCGTACCAACTGTAGGACAGGGGCAGTGCAGTGTCAGAAGCGCTGCTCTCACCAGACAGGGCGGTTCGGGCAGCTCAGTAGCACAGTAACACGGCAACACGGCTGCTCGGACGGCTCAGCAGCAACTGCGGCTCCGCGGCACCAGCGGCTCGGCTACTTAGGTGGCTCGGGCGGCTCGGGCGGGTCGGGCGGCTCGGGCGGCTCGGCTCCTCAGCAGCTCAGGCGGCTCGGGCGGCTTGGGCTGCTCGGGCGGCTCGGCTCCTCAGCGGCTCAGGCGGCTCGGGCGGCTCGGGCGGCTCGGGCGGCTCGGGCGACGCGGGCGGTGTAGGGCGGTAGGGCCGCTGGTAGGGCGGCGGGGCCGCAAGGTAGGTGGCGGGGCCGCAGTGGGAGGGGCGGCGGGGCCGGAGTGAAGGGCGGCGCGGCCGCCGTGAAGGGCGGCGGGGCCGCAGAGAAGGGCGGCGGGGCCGCTGAGAAGGGCGGCGGGGCCGCAGCGAGAGAGGCGGCGGGGCCGCAGCGAAGGGCGGCGGGGCCGCTGAGACGGGCGGCGGGGCCGCAGCGAAGGGCGGCGGGGCCGCTGAGAAGGGCGGCGGGGCCGCAACGAGAGAGGCGGCGGGGCCGTAGCAAAGGGCGGCGGGGCCGCTGAGACAGGCGGCGGGGCCGCAGTGAAGGGCGGCGGGGTCGTAGTGAAGGGCGGCGGGGCCGCAGCGAAGGGCGGCGGAGCCGCAGCGAAGGGCGGCGGGGCCGCTGAGAAGGGCGGCGGGGACGCAGCGAGAGAGGTGGCGGGGCCGCAGCAAAGGGCGGCGAGGCCGCTGAGACGGGCGGCGGGGCCGAATCAACGGGCTGCGGGGCCGCTAGGGCGTTGGGGCTGCTAGGGCGGCTCGACGAAGTGAGAGCCCGGAGAGCGACTCGGGCTGAGCGCACTTCGGGCAGGAAAAAAAACTCGATGTGGTGGGCCCTAGGCACAGTTCCCACGGGGGAACCTGCTCGATACCATGAGGAAATTAGAACGAGAATGAAATTGACTATGGAATGAAAGTGATACAAATATGCAACCCTAGAAATGTGTACCCCATATGGTCTACCCCACTAAAGCCTAGACAACATTATAATTTGACAGTAGGCTTTGCTTGTACTGTGATCTATATATATACCTGCATGCTTGCTTCTCTAGGTAGAGATCACTGTGCTGTTTGTGTTGCATATATGCCTCTGCATGTGAACTGGCCTTGTGGCCCTTTGCTTGTGCTCAGAGTGTGTGGTGACGTTGTGATCCACCCTGAGCTTGCTTTGCCTTCCTTGACTGGTCTTGTGACCCCTTGCTCTCCCCCACTTTGCCTATGGGGGTGTGTCAAATGTTCAGTCTGCTACATTTTGTTTAACCCGTAGTGGGGTAGTTACTATGGGGTACAGTAAGTTTAGGGTTTCCTCCTTGTATCCGACTCTTTCCTAGTGCAATCACTCTTGTTGATTCTGACATCGTTTTGCTGGGTCAAACCTGATTTGTACGGTGTGCAGTCTGGTTGGAACGCGAAGTTACCAGCCAGGGTTTCCGGATGCACTGTTCATTACCATTCAGGCAATAATGTTGACCATCTCGGCAATGCTGGTTACCATGGTGGCGATGAGAAGACATCTCTGTTACGATTTGGAAACGTGGCTTACTTCGCGTGCGATCAAGCTCCATGATTGTTACCGCTAAGATAAATGCCCAATGTTTCTCCATGAATGCAAATGGTCGTCTCCAACATTTAAAGCAAGGTTGGTTCATTATGATTGTGACAATGTTAGCTAAAAATCACAAAGTGTAAAATCTGCATGTAAATCAGGCCCTCAGATTCACTTCGAGGGACGTAGAGGGATCAGGGTCCCTCTGCGTGAAATCCCTGATTGACAGTGTCTTTTTGAAAAAAAAAACCTGAAAAATCAGTGTCACTTAAAGAAAAACCCTGAAGCATCAGTGTTTTCTAAGAAAAAAGGCTGTTTTTACAAAACCACACGGCTGACTGCCTCTTGGTACACCAGGCAGGAACGCGAGGAAACCCCCCGCGAGTGAAAAAACACGGGGCAAATTTGTCTTGTAGTCACCACCAGGCAGTGCTGTGTGAAAATAGGTAGTTAGAAGTAGGAGCCATAGCTACGTCTTTCCTAGCTAGGCAAGAATACTTAGGCAAAAGAGGGGGGATGCACTAGCAAGCAACAGGATACGTATAGGAAACCCTAGAAGGGTTGTACTCGCTATAGAGCACCCCACTACAGGCTAGAGCATAAGATAACATTCTGACACACCCCCATAGCCAAAGTGGGGTGTAATCAGCAGAGCAAGCAAAGCAGTACAAGCTCAGGGTGGATCACAATGTCACCACACATTCTGAGCACAAGTTCAAGAAGCAATAGTTTAAAGTTCACAATTATGAGCAAAGCTAGTGTTAGTCATAACGGGCAAGTGAGGAGGAGGAGAGAGAGTGAGAGGAGAAGAGATAGGAGGCGACGGATGAAGCTGCAGACACACGGGCAACAGGAGGCACACTGGCACAGCGGCTACCGGAACAACGCTCTGGAATACTGGAGTAACTGGCCCCGCGGCTAAAGTAGCGGCAGACGAGCAACGGACCCACGGGCGGCTGGCACAGCTGGCTACGACTGGGCTACCGGAGCAACTCCCCGGAATACAGGTGCTGCTGGCGACACGACGGCAACCTCCATTCAGCTTCCCCAAACTATTCCACTCCCCCTGACACATACCCGCTGCTACGCCCCTAGCTCCACTCCCCCTTCACCCCCCCTTAGTACCACTCCACCGGCTCCAACAAGTCCACCCCCCCTCAGCGGCAGCTGCAGCACAAGGAGACGGAGGAGGAGGAGGAGCAGGGAACGGCACACAGTGGGTTCACCCCCATACCCCTCACCCCCAAACCCTAATGCAGGAGAATGGGGAGTAGGAGGGGTGGGGCGCCAGTAGAAGCACGGGGGACAGCAGGGAGGGCAGGGGCAGCGAGGAAAGGGCCGCCCACGGGCCTGGCACAGCCGCCCGAACCGCGCGCAGGCGGCCTGAGCCGCGCGTGGGCCTGGCGCAGCCCGTACGGGCCGCACGCGGGCCTGGCGTAGCCCGTACGGGCCGCGCGCGGGCCTGGCGTAGCCCGTACGGGCCGCGCGCGGGCCTGGCGCAGCCCGTACGGGCCGCGGACGAGTCTGGCGCGGCCCTTACGTGCCGCGCGCAGGCCACGACGCGCGATGGGGGCCGACGCGGAGGTCCCTGTCGCCCGTCACAGCACCTCCCGAGAGCGGCGCGCGGCGTGACGGGGCAGTAACCCGCCGCGCGCCTCGGGCGCACGGCGGGAAGAGAACCGCCGCGCGCCTCGGGGCGCACGGCGGGCAGAAAACCGCCGCGCGCCTCGGGGCGCACGGCGGAAAGGGAGAGTAGAAGTTGCAGCGGAAGGAGTGTGGTGGGGCCCACAGGCCAGGAGCTTACTGCTCTGATAACCATGTGAAAATAGGTAGTTAGAAGTAGGAGCCATAGCTAGGTCTTTCCTAGCTAGGCAAGAATAGTTTAGGCAAAAGAGGGGGGATGCACTAGCAAGCAACAGGATATATATAGGAAACCCTAGAAGGGTTGTACTCGCTATAGAGCACCCCACTACAAGCTAGAGCATAAGATAACATTCTGACATGCTGACACCGCGGGAATCTGAGATTCCCTGTACTTCCGGGCAACTACACTTGAAACGTGTAGAAATCGGATTCAGTGCTAGTTTCGGTACAACGTAGAGGAATCAGTGTCGTTAAACAAAAAAAACCTGAAAGTTCAGAGTCATCTGGCAGGAAAAGGCTGAAAAAATAGTCCCACAAAAAGCTGAACACTGGAAAATCAGGGTAGGTACAAAGAAAATCCCTGAAAATCTGGAATTTCATGAAAAAAATCATGATATCGTAGGGCCTGATGTAAATACATTATTCGTTGAGTTTTTGTCTGAACAATAATCATGCCTCTGTGAAAGTTTAGAAGAAAGAAGAGGGCTGCACTAGCAAGAATGGGGATCCAAATAGGAAACCCTAGAAGGGTTGTACTCGCTATAGAGCACCTCACTACAGGCTAGAGCATAAGATAACATTCTGACACACCCCCATAGCCAAAGTGGGGTGTAATCAGCAGAGCAAGCAAAGCAGTACAAGCTCAGGGTGGATCACAATGTCACCACACATTCTGAGCACAAGTTCAAGAAGCAATAGTTTAAAGTTCACAATTATGAGCAAAGCTAGTGGTAGTCACAACGGGCAAGTGAGGAGGAGGAGAGAGAGTGAGAGGAGAGGAGATAGGAGGCGACGGATGAAGCTGCAGACACACGGGCAACAAGAGGCACACTGGCACAGCGGCTACCGGAACAACGCTCTGGAATACTGGAGTAACTGGCCCCGCGGCTAAAGTAGCGGCAGACGAGCAACGGACCCACGGGCGGCTAGCACAACTGGCTACGACTGGGCTACCGGACGAAGTCCCCGGAATACAGGTGCTGCTGGCGACACGACGGCAACCTCCATTCAGCTTCCCCAAACTATCCCACTCCCCCCTGGCACACACCCGCTGCTACACCGCTAGCTCCACTGCCCCTTCACCCCCCCCCTTAGTACCACTCCACCGGCTCCAACACGTCCACCCCCCTCAGCGGCAGCTGCAGCACAAGGAGACGGAGGAGGAGGAGGAGCAGGGGAGACCACACCCCCGCCACCCCCCAAGCGGCCCCCTCAGATCACCTCGTCAGGCGACGGGAAAAGGGGGGGGGGGGGGGGGGGGCGGTGCACATGCCGTAGGTAGGGCGACGGGGCCGGGCCGTAGGTAGGGCGACGGGGCCTGTACGCAGGTAGGGCGGTGGGGCCGGGGCGCAGGTAGGGCGACGGGGCCGGGGTCGCAGGTAGGGCGACGGGCCCGGGGTCGCAGGTAGGGCGACGGGGCTAGGGCCGGGGCCGCAGCTATGGCGACGGGACCGGG